CTAGGGACTGCTTCTAGGGCCCACCGAAGCGCGCCCCGAGGCGCGTTTTCCTTTTTTTTAGCGACCCGTCGTGTCGCCCCTAGCGGCCCGTCGCGTCGCCCTTCGATCGCGGCCCCGCCCCCCCCTTCGATCGCGGCTCCGCCGCCCTTCCTTAGCGGCCCCGCCGCCCTTCGATCGCGGCCCCGCCGCCCTCTGCTACGCGGCCCCGCCGCCCTCTGCTAAGCGGCCCCGCCGCCCTTCGATCGCGGCCCCGCCGCCCTCTGCTACGCGGCCCCGCCGCCCTCTGCTAAGCGGCCCCGCCGCCCTTCGATCGCGGCCCCGCCGCTCTCTGCTAAGCGGCCCCGCCGCTCTCTGCTAAGCGGCCCCGCCGCCCTTCGATCGCGGCCCCGCCGCCCTCTGCTAAGCGGCTCCGCCGCCCTCTGCTAAGCAGCCACGCCGCCTTGCTTACGCAGCCCCGCCACCCTCTATTACGCGGCCCCGCCGCCCTCTTCTACGCGGCCCCGCCGCCCTTCCTTCGCGGCCCCGCCGCTCTGCTCTCGCGGCCCCGCCGCCCTCTGCTTAGCGGCCCCGGCGCCCTTCCTTCGCGGCCCCGTAGCCCTTCTTGCACGGCCCCGCCGCCCTACCTGCGGCCCCGCCGCCGCCCTACCTACACGGCCCAGCATCAGCCGAGCCGCCCAGCCGCAGCCGAGCGGCCCAGCATCAGCCGAGCCGCCCAACCGCAGCCGAGCGGCCCAGCATCAGCCGAGCCGCCCAACCGCAGCCGAGCGGCCCAGCATCAGCCGAGCCGCCCAGTCGCAGCCGAGCCGCCCGGCAGAAGCCGAACCGCCCGGGAGCCGCTGAGCAGCCCAACAGCAGCCGAGCCGCCCTGGAGCCGCCGAGCCGCCGGGCACCCTTCCTGGGGCAGCCGAGCCGCCCAGGAGCAGCCGAGCCGCCCCGGAGCTACCAAGCCGCCCAGCAACCGCCGAGCCGCCCGACCTGCCCTGCCCGGTGAGCACCCTACCGCTGTCACTGCGTGCCCTTCCCCTACTGCTTGCACTGCTCCACTGTCGTCGTCATGGCTACACCCAGTGTCCTCGCTTTTGACGCTGAGGGTCGAGCCATTGACTTTGAGGTCTGGCTCGACGACCTGCAGCTGTTTTTACAGTGCGATAGGGCGGACGGTCTGTCTCTCTTTGACCTCACCTCTGGCGCCGTCCCTGCCCCTGCTGCTGATGCTGACGCCACTGTTCGCTCTCAGTGGGCCACGCGCGATGCTGCTGCACGTCTTGCTGTGCGTCGCCACCTGCCTACCGCTGAGCGCGCGCACTTTAGCCAGTACAAGAGTGCCCAGACCTTGTACGACGCTGTAGTTGCGCGCTACTCCTCCCCTGCCACTGCTGCACTGAGCCGCCTCATGCTCCCCTTCCTCTTCCCTGACCTTGCCGCCTTTCCTACTGTCGCTGATCTCATCACGCACCTCCGCATTAGCGACACTCGCTACCGCGCTGCGCTTCCTGCTGACTTCTGCGCCAAGAACCCCCCCCCCATGTACATCACTCTCTACTTCTTAGTCACTCGCCTCCCTGACTCCCTTTGTGTAGTCCGGGACCACTTCCTCGCGGTCTGTCCCACCACCCTCACAGTCGACAGCCTCGAGAAGGCCCTCCTTGCAGCGGAGAAGAGCATAGTCGCTGTAGGAGCCTCTCGAGGTGACCCCCGCGCCCCCATCTTTGAGGGGTGTTCTCCTTCCCCTCTCCTACCCTCTGTCGCCTCTGCCGCTGCGGCCGACCTCGTTGGTCTTGAGTCGGTCGGTGCGGCGTCTGCCCCTAGCGGGAGACGCCGCTCTGGCAAGGGCAAGGGGGGCAAGGGAGCGGGTGGGGCCAGTGGGGGCGGTGGAGGTGGAGGTGGAGGCGGCGGAGGGAGTGGGGGTGGCGGTGGAGGTGGTAGCGGGGGTGGGGGTGCTAGTGGCGGCAGTGGAGGCGGGGGTGGCGGCGGCGGTGGCGGTGGTAGCGGAGGTGGCAGAGGTGGCGGCGGTGGAGGCGGAGGCGGGGGCGTTGGAGGCGGAGGCGGGGGTGGCGGAGGTGGAGGTGGTCGGAGTGGAGCTTCGCAGCGGAGCAGCACTGGGGGCGGTCAGCGCCAGCAGCAGCAGCAGCAGCGTTCTCGCGACGTCCCCACCCCTCAGCAGCTCCGTGAGTGGTACACGCAGCGTCAGCGCGGTGGGGTTTTGGGTCCCTGCACCTACGTTCTCCGCACTGGCGACCGCGCTGGAGAGCAGTGTGGGGGTACCCACACCGCCCAGCGCTGCTTTGGCCGCCTGACGGACGCTTGGCGCCAGTAGTTCCCGGAGGCCGCGGAGATCCCCCGCTGGGGAGAGCTGTCTAGGGCTGGTGTAGCTATCTTTGATCTTGATTTTGATGCTATCCTTGCTGCCATGTATGCTGTGACCATTAGTGATGAGGGTGACTGTTACCGGTGTTTCCCGCCCGACCCGGGCATTGGTACTGCTTCTCTAGGTGCCGGTGAGGCTTCTGCTCTAGGTGCCAGTGCGTTTGTGCTCTCAGGTGCTGGTGAGGCTGCTCTCTCAGGTACTGCGTCGGCTTCGGCCTCCCACACCTTCACCCTTGACTCTGGAGCGTCTCGCTCTTTCTTTCGGGACCGCACCACACTCACGCCGCTTAGTCGGCCGGTTGCGGTTTCCCTGGCTGACCCCTCTGGGGGTCCTGTCCTGTCTCGCTTCTCCACAGTCCTCCCGTGTCCGGCGGCTCCCTCTGGCACCCTGTCTGGTCTCTACCTCCCCTCGTTCTCTACGAACTTGGTGAGTGGTGCTGATCTACAGGATGCGGGAGTCCACCAGTTCACCCCTGCTCGTCAGCGAGTGACGCACTGCACAGAGGCTAGCACGGGTCGTCACCTGGCTACGTTTACACGTCAGCCAGGGTCGAGCCTGTACACACTGACTACTGCTTCTCCTCCAGTTCCTGAGTCTTGTAGGGTCCCTTCGTCAGGTCAGGTGTTTGCTGCAGCGTCCAGGTCTGGCCCTGAGTCTGCCCCCTGTTCGTGTCGTCGCCTGTCTCACGAGACTCTCCTCTGGCACCACCGCCTTGGTCACCCCTCTCTGCTTCGGCTCAGAGGCATGACCTCCCGTCTTCTTGTGTCTGGTCTTCCTCGGTCTCTCCCTCCCCTTCCTCAGGGCCCTGGCCCTACCTGTGTCCCCTGTGTCGAGGGGCGCTAGCGTGCTGCCCCTCACTCCTCCCAGTTTCCTCCGACAGAGGCTCCGTTGCAGACGCTTCACATGGACGTGTGGGGCCCTGCCCGCGTCCATGGACTCGGTCACGAGCGCTACTTCCTGTTGGTGGTTCACGACTACTCGCGTTACACCACAGTCTTCCCCTTGCGCAGCAAGGGTGATGTCACTGAGGTGCTGATCGACTGGATCCGCGCAGCTCGTCTCCAGCTCAGGCAGAGCTTTGGCTCGGACTTTCCTGTGTTGCGTCTGCACTCGGAAAGAGGCGGAGAGTTCTCCTCTGGCCTTCTGCGTGCCTTCTGTCGTGCGCGAGGCATCCGCCAGACCTTCACGCTTCCGGACTCACCGCAGCAAAATGGGATTGCAGAGCGCCGCATTGGCATGGTCATGGACGTCGCTCGTACGTCTATGATGCATGCGGCTGCCCCCCATTTTCTGTGGCCGTTTGCGGTCAGGTACGCGGCGCATCAGATCAACCTCCACCCCACGGTCTCCAGGCCGGAGACCTCCCCAGCCCTGCTGTGGACGGGGAAGGTTGGCGATGCGTCAGCGTTCCGGGTCTGGGGATCTCGGGCGTTTGTCCGCGACTTGTCTGCGGACAAGCTGTCCCCTCGCGCTGCTCCCTGCGTCTTCTTGGGGTTCCCCCCCGACGCCCCTGGGTGGCAGTTCTACCACCCCACCTCTCGACGTGTTCTGTCCTCCCAGGACGTCACGTTCGACGAGTCGGTACCCTACTACCGCCTCTTCCCCTACCGCACTCCGTCCCTTCCCCCGCCCCCGCTCTTCTTGGTACCAGGTCCCCCCCCGGTAGACCCCCTCCCCCCTCAGGGTCCTGCCCCTTCAGGTGTGTCCCAGGTAGACGCGGTCGAGCCTGTCGAGGTCACTGGTGACTCTGGTGCTGCTGCGGGAGCTGAGCCTGGGGGTGCTGGGACTGGAGGTGCTCCGCTTGGGGGTGCTGAGCCTGGGGGTGCGGAGTCTGGAGGTGCTGAGCCTGGGGGTGCTGAGCCTGGGGGTGCTGAGCCTGGGGGTACTTGTGAGAATAGTAGGTGTGGGGCCTAGGCTTAGTAGCCTAGGCCCACACTAGGAGGTAGGTGGGCTTGTTCTAGAACTAGGAGTTACGGTTTACGAAGGAGAATTGGAAGGAAGAATGAGGATCGACTAGCAAGCAGCAGGACACACAAATAGCAAACCCTAAGGGGTTATACTCACTATTGAGCACCCCACTGCAGGCTAGACGAATAATATTCTGACACACCCCCATAGCCAAAGTGGGGTGCAATCAGCAGAGCAAGCAAAGTAGAACAAGCTCAGGGTGGATCACAATGTCACCACACATTCTGAGCACAAGTTCAAGAAGCAATAGTTTAAAGTTAAGAATTATGAGCAAAGCTAGTGGTAGTCACAACGGGCAAGTGAGGAGGAGGAGAGAGAGTGAGAGGAGAGGAGATAGGAGGAGACGGCTGAAGCTGCAGACACACGGGCAACAGGAGGCAGACTGGCACAGCGGCTACCGGACTAAGCGCCCGGACTACAGGAGTAACAGGCCCCGCGGCTAGAGTAGCGGCAGACGAGCAACGGACCCACGGGCGGCTGGCGTAGAAGTCTAGCTCAGTGGGCTACCGGGACAGCGCCCCGGACTACAGGTGCTGCGGACAACAGTACGGCAACTTCCATGCAGCTTCCCCAAACAGTCCCACCCCCCCGACACACACCCGCTGCTACACCGCTAGCTCCACTCCCACGCACCCCCCTTAAACCCTAAACCCCAGTCTCCCACTCAACCACCCCCCTCAGCGACAGCTGCAGGAGTGGGAGACGAAGGAGGAGGAGGAGCAAAGGGAGGAATGCACACCAGCCACCCCCATACTCGCAAACGGGGGGGGGGGGGGGAGAGCAGAAACAGTGCGCACGAGGGCGCAGACAGTAGCAGAGCGCACGAGGGCGCGAGCATGAGGCACGAGCAGCACCAGGCACATGCAGCACAGGGCAGCACAGGCACGGGCAGCAACAGGCACAGGCAGCACAGGCACGGGCAGCACAGGCACGGGCAGCACAGCCACAGGCAGCAACAGGCACAGGCAGCACAGGGCAGCACAGGCACGGGCAGCAACAGGCACAGGCAACACAAGCACGGGCAGCACAGGCACGGGCAGCACAGGCACGGGCAGCATAGGCACAGGCAACAACAGGCACAGGCAGCACAGGGCAGCACAGGCACGGGCAGCAACAGGCACAGGCAGCACAGGCACGGGCAGCACAGGCACGGGCAGCACAGGCACGGGCAGCACAGGCACAGGTAGCAACAGGCACAGGCAGCACAGGGCAGCACAGGCACGGGCACCAACAGGCACAGGCAGCACAGGCACGGGCAGCATAGGCACGGGCAGCACAGGCACGGGCAGCACAGGTACAGGCAGCAACAGGCACAGGCAGCACAGGGCAGCACAGGGCAGCACAGGCACGGGCAGCAATAGGCACAGGCAGCACAGGCACAAGCAGCACGGGGCAGCACAGGCAGGGCAGCACAGGGCAGCACAGGCACGGGCAGCACAGGCAGGGCAGCACAGAGCGTACCGGGTCCAGGGGCGGCAGCTGCTGCAGGCGCTGGGGGCGGCTGCTGCTGCAGGCTTTGGCGGCGGCTGCTGCTGCTGGGCGGCGGTGGCTGCTGCGGCAGAGCGGCGGCGGCTGCTACTGCTGGTAGAGCGGCGGCTGCTGCTGCTAGGTCGGTGGCGGCAGCTGCTGCAGGCCTGGCAGCGGCTGCTGCTGCAGGTTCGGCGGCGGCAGCTGCTGCAGGCTCTGGCGGCGGCTGCTGCTGCAGACTTTGGCGGCGGCTGCTGCTGCGGGCTCTGGCGGCGGCTGCTGCTGCAGGCTCTGGCGGGGGCTGCTGCTGCAGGCCTGGCGGCAGCTGCTGCTGCAGGGCGGCGGCGTCTGCTGCTGCAGGCCTGGCGGCGGCTGCTGCTGCAGGGCGGCGGCGGCTGCTGCTGCAGGATCTGACGGCGCCCCGCGGGTCCCGCAGGGGGCGTCGCGACGAGCAGGGGCGACGCCCCGCGGGTCCCACAGGGGGCGTCGCGACGAGCAGGGGCGACGCCCCGCGGGTCCCGCACGGACGTCGCGACGAGCAGGGCGACGCCGCGCGGGTCCCGCAGGGGGCGTTGCGACGAGCAGGGGCGACGCCCCGCGGGTCCCGCACGGACGTTGCGACGAGCAGAGCGATGCCGCGCGGGTCCCGCAGGGGGCGCCGTGACGAGTAGCGGGGAGGGCAGCGCGCAGGCCCCCCCGAGGGCAATCCGACGGACGGGAAAACCGCCGCGCGCCCCGAGCGCGCGGCAGGCAGAAAAAGCCGCCACGCATTGGAAGCGCGTGGCGAGATATAAATGCAATGCCGCGCACCACGGGGCGCGCGGCGGATAATACGGCAGCGGAAGTAGGTGGTGGGCCCGATGAACTAGGCGGCAGGATCTTGCCGGCTCTAGATACCATGTGAGAATAGTGGGTGTGGGGCCTAGGCTTATTAGCCTAGGCCCACACTAGGAGGTAGGTGGGCTTGTTCTAGAACTAGAAGTTAGGGTTTACGAAGGAGAACTGGAAGGAAGAATGAGGATCGACTAGCAAGCAGCAGGACACACAAATAGCCAACCCTAAGGGGTTATACTCACCATTGAGCACCCCACTGCAGGCTACAGGCTAAACCTTAAACCCTTGACTCCGGTGCTGCTACGGGAGCTGAGCCTGGGGGTGCTGGGACTGGAGGTGCTCCGCTTGGGGGTGCTGAGCCTGGGGGTGCGGAGTCTGGAGGTGCTGAGCCTGGGGGTGCTGAGCCTGGGGGTGCTGAGCCTGGGGGTACTGAGTCTGGGGGTGCCGAGCCTGGGGGTGCTGTGCCTGGGGGTGCTGAGCCTGGGGGTGCTGAGACTGGAGGTTCTCCGCCTGGAGGTGCTTCGTCTCGCCGGGAGCCACTCTCCCCACAGGAGCTACGTGAGTGGTTTGCCAAGCGCTGGAGGCGTGCTGCTGGTGCTGGAGGTTCTTCGGCTGCAAAGGGTGCTACTGCCGCGCGTCCCGGAGGTGCTCGTGCTGTGGGTGCTGGAGCTGCTGGGCCTGAGGGTTCTCCTGGAGCTGGTGCTGCTAAGGGTGTTGGCGCTGAGACTACTGCTGGCGGTCCGACTGACAGTGCTCCTGGTGCTGCTGGGGGTTCTAGAGCTACTGGAGGTGCTGCTGGAGGTGCTGCTGGAGCGGGTACTCTTGCTGGGGGTACTGATGCTGTCCCTGCTGTCTCTGGCATCGCCACGCGGCCCCGACCGTACTTCGTTCCGCTCCTGCACCAGGTTCTTAGTCTTCCACCTTCTCCTGGTCCTCCTCCTCCTCCCTTAGAGGGTCCACAGCCTGTCCAGTCCCAGTCACAGCTACAGCCTGCCTCCCCTTTGCCTGCTCCTTCTCCCTACACTGGTCCGACTGGAGGTCTTGCTGAGCGTCGTGATCCTGTGTCTCGTCCTGCGTCGCCTGTTCGTCCTGCACGCACTAGTGGCCGCGGTTCACGTCAGCGTCCCCCTCCTGTCCCTGGCACGCACCGGATGTCTCTGCGTCCGTCCACTGCTCCTCTGCGTGCCCCTTTGCCTTCTCCTCCTGCTTCCTCTCTTCCTGCTCTTGCCGAACCGGAGTCGGACTCTCTTCGTGCTGCCAGTCCTACTGTCACGCGTCTCTTTGCTACTGCTGTCACTGACCCTTCTTTCGAGTCTTCTGCTGCGTCTGCCCTTGTCACTGAGCTCGTCGACTTTGCTGCGCGGTGTCGTCTAGACTACGCTGCTAGTCTTGTCGCTGAGTCTGAGTCTGCCTGTCCTCCGTCCGTCGGGGGTGAGTGTGCCCTTGGCACGGACGTCCTTGAGGACAGGCAGGAGGAGTTCCGCTGTCTGGCCGCCGCTTCACCTCATCTCGTGTCTGTACTGCTAGCCCCTGAGGGAGACCCGGATGCACTAGACATCCCGACTCCGCGCTCTTACGCGGAGGCGATAGAGGGTCCCTACTCCTCTCAGTGGCAGGCAGCTATGGATGCAGAGATGGCTTCCTGGAAGTCCACAGGCACCTACGTTGACGCTGTTCCCCCTCCTGGGGCGAACATCGTCAGTGGCATGTGGATTTTCAGGGTGAAGCGGCCGCCGGGTTCTCCGCCTGTCTTCAAGGCGCGTTACGTGGCTCGTGGCTTCAGTCAGCGGCAGGGAGTTGACTACTTTCAGACCTTCTCCCCCACCCCGAAGATGACCACTCTTCGGGTACTGCTGCACGTTGCTGCTCACCGTGACTACGAGCTGCACTCTCTCGACTTCAGCACCGCTTTCTTGCAGGGCAGCCTGCACGAGGAGATCTGGCTGCGTCGCCCACCTGGCTTCACTGGGTCTTTCCCTCCTGGTACCCAGTGGAGTCTCCGGCGTCCAGTCTACGGTCTTTGCCAGGCGCCACGTGAGTGGCACGACACACTGAGGACTACGCTGGCGGCACTTGGGTTTGCTCCTTCTACTGCCGACCCGTCGCTGTTTCTGCGCACCGACACCTCTCTGCCGCCGTTCTACATCCTCGTGTACGTCGACGACTTGGTCTTTGCCACAACTGACACTACTGGACTCGCCTACGTGAAGTCCGAGCTGCAGAAGAGACACACGTGCACTGATTTGGGTGAACTGCGCAGCTACCTTGGCTTGCAGATCACCCGGGACAGAGCACGCCGCACCATTACCCTGACTCAGTCACACATGGTGCAGCAGGTCCTTCAGCGCTTCGGCTTCACGTACTCCTCGCCTCAGGCCACTCCTCTGCCTACTCGCCACTCGCTCTCAGCTCTGCCTTCGGATGAGTCCGTAGAGTCGAGTGGTCCGTCTGCAGAGCTTGTTGGCTGTCTCATGTACCTGATGACCTGCACACGACCTGACCTTGCATACCCTCTTAGCATTCTCGCACCCTAGGTTGCTCCTGGGAGACACCGACTAGAGCACATGGCTGCAGCGAAGAGGGTGTTGCGCTACTTGTGCAGTACGTCGGGCATGGGGCTAGTGCTTGGAGGGCGCAGTCCAGTGGTCCTCACTGGGCACGCGGACGCTTCTTGGGCTGACGACCAGGCTACGCAGCGGTCGTCACAGGGTTACACCTTCAGCCTTGGTTCCGGCTCTATTTCGTGGCGGGCTACACGCTCGTCTTCTGTTCTCGGCTCCAGTTGTGAGGGTGAGATCTACGCCGGGGCTATGGCTGCTCAGGAACTTCGCTGGCTCACCTACCTGCTGACCGACCTTGGAGAGCCGCCTCGTTCTCCTCCAGTCCTGTACGTAGACAACAAGGCCATGCTGGCCTTGTGTCGAGAGCAGCGGTTGGAGCACATGACAAAGCACATTGCTCTCCGCTACTTTCTTGCTCGTGAGCTACAGCAGCGTGGACAGTTGCGACTTGCGTACGTGGCCTCTGAGGCCAACACTGCTGATGTCTTCACCAAGGCACTTGCGCCTTGTGATCATCAGCGTTGCTGCACGCAGCTGGGGCTTTTGCATGTCTTGCCTCACTTGCTCACTTCTTGACCTTGCTTGTACCTTCACCTATATCTACTCTTGCTCTTGCTTGCTTGACTCTTGTATATCTCTATATATGATCTTGCATGTGAAATGGCCTTGTGGCCCTTGAACTTGTGCTCGGAATGTGTGGTGACTTTGTGATCCACCCTGAGCTTTGCTTTGCTTTGCTTGACTGGTCTTGTGACCCCTTGTTCTCCCCCACTTTGCCTATGGGGGTGTGTCAGAATATTATAGCTTACTTATTTGTGTAGGCTATAGTGGGGTATCCCATAGGGGGTGCAACCCAACTAGGGTTTCCTATTTGTACTCACTTCGTTCATAGTAATTTCATTCTCGTTCTTTCTTTCACACGATGAATTCTGCTTCTGCTGACGAAAGAGCGATGAGTTACTGCCTGCTTCTGAGAATTCCAGGAGATGAGTCCCGCTGGTTGGAGTTGAACGATGAATCCAGTGCGGGAGCGTCGGTTGGTGTCTCCCAGGAGCAACATAGCGTCCCAAGATGCTAAGAGGGTATGCAAGGTCAGGTCGTGTGCAGGTCATCAGGTACATGAGGCAGCCAACAAGCTCTGGGTACGGGCCACTCGACTCTACGGACTCATCCGAAGGCAGAGCTGAGAGCGAGTGGTGAGTAGACAAAGGAGTGGCCTGAGGCGAGGAGTACGTGAAGCCAAAGCGCTGAAGGACCTGCTGCACCATGTGTGACTGAGTCAGGGTAATGGTGCGCTGTGCTCTGTCCCGGGTGATCTGCAAGCCAAGGTAGCTGCGCAGTTCACCCAGGTCTGTGCAGGTGTGTCTCTTCTACAGCTCGGACTTCACGTGGGCGAGTCC